ACCACCCTTCTCGCTCCTTTTTGCCATTTTTCAATTAATTTTTATCTCAACCAATAACTTACATATAGATCAATTAATTGAAATGTGATTTGGTCAATCGGACTACGAAATCTAATAGATTAAATATTTAAAATGAAGTATAGCAAGTTCTCCGCAGCCATTTCATTTGTCGACGAGAATCGGATAGATTACCAGAAATTTAATGGATTTGTGATTATGTTCGTGTAATATTATTTTATTTTTTGTTGATTTTCTTTATGTAGAAAAAGTAGTAACAGTTTAATGATTGAATTTTGATTTTATTTTGAAAATTTTGAAATTATTAAGTTGTTACAAATTCTTAAATTTTTTCTCCTGGAATTATTCAATTTTTCGAGATTTATTTATACAGTTAAACCTAAATCGAATGCAAACAGCTAGTGGCAACGTTATAATCGTCATTAACCCTCAAATATCTCGAAAGAAAAATAAAACTAAATCCGACAATTACCGTGGGGGGTCAATGAATTTTTCCGTAAATCCCATCCTCTGCGCCCTGCCCGATCTAAAAATGATCGGGTTTTAATGAAATAATTTAATACGAGCACGAAGGGCGCTAATGGTTATTTGAGGTTCCTGCTTTTGTCTTGATCCGAGGGACTAAGGACACATGGCCCATCGGTTTCCTCATAATCACAGCACGTCGGAGTCAGCTGCTGACACAAACAAGTAAACAAGATAAAGATACCTATGGTCCTTAACCCTCACACATTCCGTTTGGATATTGTTCGAGGTGGCGTGATTTTTATCCTGGGCTTTTATATTCAACTTATCCTCTCATTGAACACTTAATAATTATTTTAACAAAGTTATTTGTTTAATCATTAGTCATTTAATGAAAATTATACAGTGTTTAATTATTGATATATAATATTAACTGAATATGGTTGAAATTATTTTTAATAAGGACAAAGAATCTGATTCATTCGAAATCTTGATCTTCGCAATGAATCCGGCTTATTTATTTCCACCGATGACAAGAAAATATTCATAAAAAATTCGTAATTTCAATTTTTTAAACCTACTAGGTTTTGAAAGCTATTTTTTAAAAATTAATATTTTGACTGTTCGAAAGTTTGAAATTAAAAAATAAATGTTTAATTTTTGAAAGCTACTGTCAAGTCCTAGTATTGAGTCAGGTACCTCAGTGTGACTCATATCGGAGCTTTTAAATCTACGGTCCGCACGATTTAACTGAGAACAAATGAGCTCATCATCAATCATTTTGCATTGTTTACTAATCTAAAATTCTTATCGATCAATACACAAAAAAAACTTTCTATGGCGGATTCCAATTTGGAAAACGGGCTCAATGAACGTATCGAAAATTGCAAAGGAACCGAATTCCAACATCATAGGGTCATCGCACTTGTGCTTAAACTGAGTGAGTTTAAATTCTGCCTACCTATTACTTTGAATGGGGCCTTTTGGCGACAAACCACGAAAACTTGTTTGTCTAGTTTGTTACGAACCAAACGGTTTTGATGATATCTCTCCAGGATACGAATAGGAGTTCAACTATTTCAAGTACATTTTTTTCAGTTTTTTACACTGAATGCTTAAATTTATAGTTTGTTTTGATGGTCACGGAAAGAAAGTTTTATTTCGTTGTATTTTAGGTTTATTTATTAGGTATAATCATAAATTTTTGGAGCGTCAGTGGCCGCAACGGTTTATTCGTTGACACGGCGCTCATCACAGTAAGGTAAAGGTTCCGGGTTCGAACCCAGCTTTTACAGGAGGACTTCTTATTCTCTCATTGAACTCTCAATAATTATTTTTCAAATTTATTTGTTTGAATATTAAATAATTAATGAAAATTATACAGTATTTAATTATTTATTATTATATTAACGGAATATTGTAAAAAATATTTTTAATAATAATTAAATGGTTTGCTGTTTATTTTAAAACTTTATTATTTTTAACAAAACTTTTCGACCTCATGTTATGAGTCCTCTTCAGTGTTCATTTACAATCGTCTATCCATTGGACTTCCCAACAACTTTTGTTTACAAACACAAAAGAAAATCCATGCTGCAGAATATGTTCAATACCCTACAATACAAATTCTTAAAAACATTTTAGCATAAATCTTGTATGATAAAATGCTACGAGAAAAAATATTATACTGAATAATTAATAATAATGCAGGCCTAGACCGTTTTTACATTCATTTTGCTATTATTAATAGAAGTGAAAAATTAGTAAATGTGATTCGTGGGCCAGTACACTCGTTGTTACTAATTAATCAACTATTAACACTATGTTTAAATTTTTTACATAGCTTTAAGTTTTGTGATTTAATTTTTATCAAAATATGTTAATTATTCGTTATTTAAATAATTTTTTTTATTCATAATTTGTTGGATTCGTGATTAGAAAAACACCTTTTTCATACTTTTGCCTTTATTCGAGCCTTCAAGGCATAGTGTGGCACTATTCTTGTGGTGTTGTGTGAAATTTACTTTATGCCCTGAAGATGACCCGAATAAAGGACGAAACGTCGGTAAAAAAAATTTTGACTGATCCTCACGAATCCAACAAATTATTAACTTTACAGTGGAATATATAAAATTGTTGCTGTTACGTTTTCTATAGGAAATTTGTGACTTATGCATTCCAGTATTGTGCATTCATTTTTACAGGATTTAACTTACGAATTGATGACATCCTGCATCCCTTTAATAAAATAAATCTTTAAGTTTTCAATTAAAAATAATTTTTATGACGTTTTGTATTGGTGGGATTTGATTACTAATAAATGATCAAACGCAAAGCATTTTAAAACATAGTTTTACTCTAATTATTGTAGTGTTAATGACACGCTTGCTGTCACTGTTTATATTAGTCATTTTAGTGTTTATTGTTTTCTGATTGGCTGTTTATGTTTATTGTTTTGAGAATCAATGTTCTGCCAAATTAGTATTTTCCTTGGTTTTTAAATAGTAGTGTTTATAAAATGTATGCTTTTGCGTTTCCTATTGAAAGGGGTTTCGTCCTTTTCCAATCGTCTCTATGTTTTTTGTTGTTTGATTTATATTTGACATTTGCATGGTTAGTCTTTTCTGAAATAGAGCATAATCTATTATGGTCGTCTATTTCTCGCTCGATTGTTTGTCTGTTGTCGTTCTGCAGAACGGAACTTTGTTGGTAATATTGATGAACGGAATAGTTTTGATAGATATTGTATTTGCAGTGCTTTATCCTTGTCGGATTTTCGTAATCAGTAGTTTAATATGGGGAAACATTTTGGAGAAAAGTGTGCCGATTTAAAAAAAATTACTTAATTCAACTAATTATTCTTTCTATGTAAGATCTTGGTTAGGTTGAAAAAGTTATTGTTACGAGCGGGATTCGAACCTACCAGCCGAAGGTCGTGTTTACGAATCCCGCTCGTCGTACTAAATTTTCATCTTAACCAAGACATTACATTCAAAGAATAATCAATTGGAATTTATTGTAAGGTTTTATATTGAGTATTTGTGTATTAATTATAAAAAATTATCTACCTATCACTTTGGCTTAGAAACCGCGTAAGGGATGGCGAGTTGTAGTTCGTTCTGGCAATATACACCAGAAAAATTAATAGCAACATTCAAAAAATAATTTGAACCACTTCTAGAGTTATCTCATGAGAACTGTTTTATTCTTTGAAAAGGTTTCTTTTTAAAACAGGTTGTGACCCGAAAGGCGTTGCTACCACCTTAATTTACGAATTATAACGTTGCATGTAAATAAATTTTGTTTAAGTTAATTGTGGTATAAATTAAACATTTATTGTAAGTATTAATTTAATTATGTTTAGTGGTCTAATTGACCAAATTACTTATTTCAACTAATTATTCTTTTTATCTTGGTTAAGATGAAAAAGTTAGTATCACGAGCGGGATTCGACCCCACCAGCCGAAGGTCATGTGTTCGAATCCCGCTGGTGACACTAAATTTTCATCTCAACCAAGGCCTTACATAAAAAGAATAATTAATTGAAATTTATTATAAGGTTTTATATTGAGTATTTGTGTATTAATTATAAAAAATTATCTACCTATCACTTTGGCTTAGAAACCGCGTAAGGGGTGGCGAGTTGTACTTCGTTCTGGCAATATACACCAGACAAATTAATAGCAACATTCAAAAAAATTATTTGAACCAGTTCTAGAGCTGTTATATTTTTGAAAAGTTTTCTTTTTAAAAAAGGTCATTTTGTGACCTGAAAAGGCGACGCTATCACCTAATTTACGAATCATAGCGTTGCATGTAAATATATTTTGTTTGAGTTAATTGTGGTGCAAATTAAACATTTACTGTAAATATTAATCCATTTATGTTTAGTGGTCTAATTGACCAAATTACTTATCTCAACTAATTATTCTTTTTATCTTGGTTAAGATGAATAATTTAAATTAAACAATTAAATTAAAAGGAAAATGAGAATAACTGACCTACAAATATTATTATAAAACAATACAATAAATTTCATTTATTCTTTTTATTTAAGGTCTTGGTTGAGATGAAAATTTAGTGTCAAGAGCGGGATTCGAACACACGACCTACGACTGGTGGGTTCGATTCCCGCTCATAGGAAAAAGAATAATTAATTGAAATATATTGTAAGGTTTTATATTGAGTATTTGTGTATTAGTTATTTTCATTTGCCCTTTATTTTAATTGTTTAATTCAATTTACTTATTAAATTATTTTACTATTTGATGACATGCTGTATTTAAATTTTATGTATGAATTATTATTGAGCTCTTGTCATGTTTATAAAAGTGTTCTTGCTGCGTATTCCAATTGAAACTAGCGAATTGTTTGTATTCTTCTCGATCTTTTGTGTTTGAGTACGAATCGACGACATGCCACACCCGGCTTTTCACTCCGTGTAATCCCGTCCGCTTTGGAAATCACACGATTCCTGGTGACGGCTCAAGTGAGTCAGTCAGTTTCTCGGTTCGAAGAACACCTGTTTACAAATATCGTACCCTCGCGAGCCAAGGCGAAGATACCGACTCGGGGGCCCCCCTCTTTTGCCGGGTAACAGGCCCCGAACCATGAACACGGCTGACTCAGTCAACATCGTCTGCATCGTTCGAAACGGACCGTCGAGGGGTCGCCAGATGCAAACCTGATTCGGTACGGTAAAATGACAGTTTGTGACAAGTGTTGTGATCAGTTTTAAGTGAATTTTTTTATTGATCCAACATCGGATAGCCTCAGGTATGAATATATTAAAATTCAATTGGAAAAACATTCCTTAAAAAATTTTTATACATAAATTGTTAAACATACTTTTGGCCACTCTTAGTAATAAATTACGACACACGCTACATATTTTTAAAATTATTTGGACAACTTTGCTTAACAATAGAAATATCGACCACTTTTTCACTCACGATGACTCTAGATCAAGGTATAGTCTCGAAGAAGAATGGCAAAATCAGTTGTTACTTCAGGCAGTATAAAGATACTGGAGGCAGCAATAACTGAATTTGCTTCCTTCTTCATGACCATGCCTTGATGCAGAGTAGTCGACAATGATTAATGTATGATCATTTATTAATGATTATTGCATGATATAAATAAATATGATACTAACACAAAATGTATCACTTTACATGTTACTGTTGACGTAAACGCAAAATATTCAAAACTGAGCTACAGGTTTTTTTTATTCATCTCTATAAATAGGTAAAAAAATAATAGTTTAAATGATTATTGTATAACTACAGTAATTATCAGACAAAAATCGTAAAAATAAATAAAATCATTGGAATTTAAAATTTATATGTTGAATAATGCTATAATGCTTATACATTAATTTCTTTATTAATCCAAATAAAGTGTACTAATGTTTTTATTAGGCTAGACAATAAATAAACATATGTTCAAAATCTTTCCAATAATATTTTTTTTTCGTGGAAAAGAAAAAATAATTTTTTTTGAACATATCGTTCGGATTTGCCAATTTGTTTTAGATAAGTTAAGAATTTTAAAAAAATATTTTATTTCATTCAAATGAATAGTTGTATTTTCGGATTTTTTAATAAATAATTTTTCCACTTCATCACCCCGACAGATTATTAAAATAAAACGAGTTCTTAATATTAGTAGCTTACTTCCTACTTTCTTAAATTATTTATGTTCTAAATGTTTTCAAAATGGTATACGTAGAAATGTTTTTCCAATAATAATAATAATATTCATCTCAACCAAGACTTTACATAAAAAATAATTAATTGAATGAAGTAATTTTGTCACTAGACCACTAAACATAATGGATTAATAATAAAAATGTAAAAAAAAATTAGCATTGTATAGAAAGCTTTAGTATCAGTTTGATCATTATCGTTTTTATTTTATTGTAGTTTTTTTATATTAATTCGCAAGTCTCTTTTTACAGTATTGAGTAATAAAGCGCTTAATGACATTGTTTTCCTATGAGGTTAGCACAGAAAAACAAACGATCTCTGCACTAGATTGCTATTGAAAAGAGAGTCGTGACAGTTTTAACTTGGTGTTTAAACCTATTTCTCTTCTAGTTTTTTCCTATTATTAAACTATATATTATACAGATAATGATTATTAGGAGATCGTGAGGTGCGGACTGGGTTGACGTAGGTTTTAGAAAAACATTTTCTTTATCATGCCAATGTTTCGTTCTTTATTGAAACCATCTTCAGGGCTCAAAGTGTTTGTTTTCCGTGTAGATGTGTCATTCTGTCTGTCATGTTGAGAGTGCCTGTTACATATAATAGAGATAGTTATTTTTTATGTTATTTTATAAGCCTCAAGCAGTTAGTTACCTTTATAGTCGTTTTCTTTTCTTATTTTTTGTATAACACTATATAAATTTTCTTTAAATTCCTTTGTCCAATGATTTGACAGCATCAGTTTTAGCAGGGATACAAATGAAATCATTTCATTATTGCTTACAAATAAATTAATTTAATTAATTGTCCTTTGTAAGACTTCATGAGTGTTGGGACGTGAACCCAGGCCTGTAGTGACTTGTCAATTGTGCTGCTATTGATTTCAAAAGTCGCGATTGTCTTTAAACGGTTTTCAATTTGTTTTCATCATCTGTAAATTTAATTGTACAAGAAGTCCCATTGTTAATGCAGGATCCATTAGATATAATATTTTGATAGCTTGTTTCAACAATACATATTGTCTTTCTATTAATTTATTCTAGATGGAATGATAAAAATTCTGTTTGTATTTAAATTAGAACCTTTTTTTCAAAACGTATTGTATGAATTTAGTTAATTACCAGATATAAAAAATAAAATTGCAACAGGGGCACAATAGGAGTTGTTCATAATAAATTATGTAAGCATTAACATATGCTTTTTATTAGGGTGATACCAGGTTGAAAAATATTAGACAGGTGTTCGAGCGTTTTTCCCCCTAGGATCCGAGAAAAAAATAGTTTAGGGAATTTAATAATTATTTTTTTATATGGCTACCTGCCTTTTTTCTGTATGCATTTCAAATTTTTTACATTATCAGTCAATTTGTTTGTTTAGCTAGGTTAAGAAAATAATATGCAGGAATGTATTTAATGATATTAGTTATATTCTGTTTACAAAAACTAAGATTTATTTTAAGCACCCTTTAAATATCTAAATACTAATATTCATTTTATAATTGTTTTTGTATTGGTTCAATTTTGCACATCGCCGATGTTCTCTGTTCCACCTGAAAATTCATAATTCGACTGACTTTTTTTTTTAAATTCAAAGTTTATTTACAACAGTTAGAAAGCCGAGTCTACTATCAGCCAGTGTCAACAACGTTTTAATTTTGTCTTTGTAAGTAGAAAATAAATAATGAGTGAGCCCAAACTTCCCAATTTTTATTTTTATTTTATTCTACTGCGGTTTTGTGTAGTACATGAAGTCTTAAGGTTCTATATAATTTCATAGACCTCAATGGAACCGTTTGAAAATTACAATTTTGTGATTTAAAAAAAAAATCCTGAGTCGTTAGAAGGTGAAAAGTTTAAACCAAAAATTTATTTAAGGGTATTTTTTGGGATCAAAAAATAAATATCAATTTTGGCATATGTCAATGCATATATACAATGCCCCAAATACTTTGGGTAGCTAATATAATTATAATTTATTAGTAAAGTAGGCAAAAAGAAATATTTTACAAATGCGATTCGATTTCGCTTTAAGCTCTCTTTAAACAGGGATTTTTATATAAAATAAATCAAAAACAAACCTTTAATACCGATTATTTCCTCCCCTGGCACGAATCAAATCCGTTAAACGCGTTTTCATTCTTTAGAAAAGATTTCTGATAAAATGCTGAAAAATTCTTTCCCATTCATCAAGAGTAGACGTTTCCAGTTCTTCTAGTGTGTTCGGACCTGGGTTTCGCCGTCGTACTCGTCGCTTAAGTTGGTCTTAAATGTGTTCGATGGGGTTCAAATCCGGACTTCGAACTGGCCACACAAAGCACTCAATGCCAACCTCATACAATAGGTGCTCTATGTGGCCTGTCATTATCCGGCATTAGCAAGAATATCTCACCGATGTTGGGAGCAAATGGCATTACATGTTTTTCGATGTTTTGCAAGTATCTCTCTGAAGTTAGATCTTCCTCATACAACAACCAATTCGTTGGGGGCCTCCATGGAAATGCCACCCCAGAACATCAATGGCCCAGCGTGGAATGCCAGCTGAGGAATGATAAAACATGGGGCGTACCTTTCCCCTGAGAGTCTCCATATCCACTAACACACCTCATCTATAAAGAGAATTCTTCCTCGACCTTCCAATGGCCAATTCACATGTTTCACCTGCGAATTGAAGTCTGGCCATTCTCTGAACTTTGGTATGAAGAGATCCACGAGCCGAGAACCCGCCCTGAGGTTTTTTCATTGACCCTTCTTTAAGTCCTGGAGAAAAGATCTAGGTCGACCCAGACCTGGCCTTCTAGTGTGAAACCCTTTTTTTCTGAAGCGCCGAACCCTTCCTATTGTAGAGCAATTTTCATTCAGTTTCCTACGACTTCATGATGGCTGTACCCTTCCTCTAATAATGTTATGACACTGACACAGTCATGTTCACTCAACTGCCTGACTGGAGCCATGAAAAAAGGTTTAAGAATAACATCAAATGAAATCACTGGAAAAAGAAGAAGAAAGAAAACAATAATATGAAATGAAATCATCAAAGGAAAAAGAATGTAACTGAAAGCGATCTTTAGGCGTTGCAAAATGGAAGGGCGTAATGCTACTATTGTGCAAATAAGATTAGTCAATACAAAATAAATAAAGAAAATAAACAAAACACTATATACAGTTTATTTTGATTACGATAGCTCCTAATTCCTGTAATGTAGAAAGGTAATGGATTTAATTTTAAACTAAAGTGGTGCGTTAAATTTGTCCATTACTGTATTATATCTTATTTACTATGATGTTCCATTTTATTTTATTATCCTTCGTTAAAAAAAAACTAATCAATTGGTGTATAATAACCTTGAAATACATGCACAACCAAGTCAAAAACTAAACATTTTTGAAGAATGGGGGGGGTTCGTGGGTTCGAATCCCTCTCGTGCCATTAACTTTTTTTCATCTCAACTAAAAACCTTAATTAATTGTAATGTTTAATTGGTCTAGCGGACCACGAAATTAGTGAATTTTTGAAGAATGTTGAAACTAATACCTTTTTTCTTGGCTACCAAGCATTGGCATATAAATTATCAAGCAAAAAGCTCTCTTTGCATGTCCAATAATTAAATTTATAAATTTGGCTTTTTTTTTCAAAGAAATGATAACGACTATGTATAAAGTTAAAAATTATAATGGTTTATTACAACACAAACATATCTACACGCACTGCGAAACTGTAAGGAGAAGTTAAACAAAATTAATGGTGTCATTATTAATTAACAAAATATTAATATATTTCATGAAAGTTTCAGATAGGTATGAAAGTTTCTTGACTGTTACAAATGATTAGAAAAAATTGCTAAAACTAAAAACTATTTTCTTAGTAATGTATTTAACAAATAATAACTAATTTAATAAAGTTTTATATTTATATTTTACATTTATGCGAATATCCTGTTTTGCAAATATTCTGTAATTAATCATTAGTAACTGCAGTAATTTCATCTTTTGAAAATATTCGTAATTCGTTATCCAAATATTTACGAATTACTAACCTCTCTGTCTAATATCGGCTGCTCGATTAAATAAT